CAGGAATGCTAGCCCTGGGACCAAGGGAACTTCGTTGGAAGCCCTGTCTTGGAAGAGTAAACATGTCCCAATAACACAGAGGCCTTGTGAAATGTGGGATGGGCAGATGTAGCAGCTGGAGAGACACATACTCCAGGCCCCTGGGCCAACAGACTTGTTCAGCCTGTATCTTGTCTGCAGGAGCAAAGCCTGGGGAAAGACCTGTAGGCAAAAGGGTAGAAGAAAAAATAGCACAGTGAGAGATGGAACTGTTTTGTACCACAGATGTCCAACTTGACCTTCTCTCCCTGCAAGCAAGCCCTGCTGCAGCTCCTGAGTTCTTTTCCATCTCCTTCAGCCAGGAATCCTTAGGCAATCGGTAGATATCCAGCCAAGCTGTTGTGCTATCTGCATTGGGAAACCATGTTGAGCAATTGAAATGAGGAGAAAAGGTCACTCAGGCAAGCAGCCTCTGTTATCTTATATCCTTAAAAGAAGATTGGGATATTTTTTTGAAATATAAAATCCCTGTGAACTCCATGCAGCCCACCTCTCCTCCCACTTAAGGCTTGACATACTTGACTGAGAATGACATCTCAGCCTCCAGCTCAAGTCCTTGAGGTCCCACATCCACCAAAGAAATTCCATGAAGTGACTCAGTCAACGAGTTTGACTCATAGCCTCTGAGGAAGAGTAGAAAGTGGAATGTGGTCTCACACTGGTTGTCTGTGGATGCTACATATCTCATTCTCAGCATGTGTCCAGGCAGATTCCACCCAATATGGGTCCAGAAAACATGCTAGCAGCAAATGGGTCGACAAAGGCAGCTGCTATCAAATAAAAGAACATTGCAGAAAGAAGTTTGCTGTAGTATTTTTAGGGACCATCCCTATACTGCCTAGCCTATGTTTGCAGAGAAAATTCTTCATGTCTACATCTTTCCAGTGTAAAAATGAGCCCTAGCAAACCAGAGGAAGAGTTGAGCTTGAGACTTCTGGAAAGGAGAGGGAAACCTTCTTTCACTGAACCTTCTGGCAGCCAGGAACTGCACTGGCCAGTTCCAGACAACTCACTTTTGGGATCAGCACCAATCCACACAAGGCCTTTTGGACAGGACAGGGAGTGGCAGAGCAGCTCTCTAGGCTGGAGGAGGGACTGGATAGGTTAGAAACAGGATCCCTGGGAACTCAGAGCACTTGGAGCATTTTAAAAGCATTGCTGCTGGCCTTTCTACTAGAACACAACAGCCGTCACCCAACACACCATGTTCCTGCACTTGCCTTGCAGTAGGAATCCTGCATAATCACCTCCTGGGGAGAGCACCACCTCCACACAAGTACTTCGCTTGCTGATATCCTCCTGCCAAAGGAAAACAGGCTGGGATCAAAGCAAGGTCACCGATTCAGAGAGCTCTGTGGCCTTACACAGTTCTCAACAGAGTGAAGGCCAAACAGATTGTTGGAAGAACAGGAATAAATATTGGTCAGCGCTGTTGGAGTGCTGCTGCCCATGACAGAAATTCCTGAGGGTAATTAGTATTCCTCATGATTCCTCCTTACCAGTCTGTGCCCAATGTCTATGGAATTAGTACTTACCACTTCATTTAGGATGTTAATGAGTAGGAAGCTTTCCTTGTGAAACCAGAACAACCAGACAAGCCCTACAATAGAAATACAAAAGTAATAAGAGGAGGAGGAGAAAAGTGAACAGACGGTAGCCATGATCTTGGGAGATGGCCGTTACAACATGTGCAGGAGCATAAACAGGACTACATTTTTTCCTGGGCTCAACAAAAAATATCCCGCTGCTTCCAGTACTAAACTTTTTCTGGTTTCCTTATGCCTGCACCAGTAAACACTCAATTGTACATTGAGGTGGATAAGACAGTTTGAAAAGTATCTCCACCAGAATTGATAAGTCTCAGATGAATCAACAAATTAATCTGCTTACCACAGGGCTGTGCAATTACAAGTGCAAAAACAAAGCATGGACAGGAGGTCATACCTAGCAATGGTGCTTTCTGTCCAGTCCAAGATGTTCCTAAAAGTTATCACGTTTCATCTCCCTTTGCTGCTCCAGAGAGGACAGCAAACCCACACCCTCTACTAACCACAAGGTCCTAAGGCCACTCTGTCACTCTACAACTTGTTATCTAATGCCCTCTTCGCAGGGCCTTCTAGGAAATCTGTCAGCCACACTAATGCTCCTCCTCATTTAGCACTCTTCCATAATGCAGCTGCCAACTCTTCAGCTCCAGAGCACAGCCAGCCCCAGCTAGGTCAAAGAAATCCACATCACACTAACCCATTTCATCCACAGCAAGCAGGACATGGTGTTCATTCCCCAGATCTGAGGCATGGATGGCACAAATCTCAGTCGTGACTGCATCCCAAGCACAGACCTGGCTATAGTCAGACACCCTGAAGGCAGCCAGACCCAAGGACAGGCCAACAAAGACATATTTTCCAGATACTGCAAGGCAATTGGATCTTCCAGTTACCTGCCAAGAAAGGGAAGAGATGAGGGCGCTCACCCATTTCCCCAGGGGAGGATACATCAGCCCTACTAGCGATGTACACCAACAGAAAAGGCTGATTTATTCTACAAGGGGAAAAGTTTTGCATAAGCTTTAACAAGAAGAGCAGGGAAGGGGCTCTCAGCTCTGTCAGAGATTGCTCTGTGTTGGGAATGAGAATGTTTGCTCCCACTTTTTCCCTTCTGATAAACAGAAGGTGCTTTAAAGGCCAGGAACATAGGAGCACTCAGCCCTTCCTCTGCTAATGCAGAGCCACAGCAAGATGCTGAGCTGCTCCAGGCAATCGCAGAACACCAGCGTATCCTCCTGGATACCACCACATAATGCTGGGGCAGGCAACACTCCCATTAGGGTATTCACCATTCACAGAGCTGAGCTTGCCCATTTATATGCTCCTGACTAATTACATTCTCCTCGGCAAACAAGGGTGGAGCCCATCTGAGAAGCAGGTGAATTCAGTGCTGTTTAAAATCTGCTTCTCTCTTTTCAGAGAGGTGATAGATCGGTGGGAAGCAGAACTTGTCAGACAAGCTTAGACGCTGCAGGATTTTGAAGTGAATCAGTGAGATGCTGGTGTATTCTGAGGAAGGTGATGAATAGAAGGGTATAAAATCAACTGAATGGATAATCTCCAGAAAAACTGCTATGGTGATTAATGGTAATCTCTGCTGTGAGGGGCTCTGTACCTGGAATTCAGCTGTAGGAAGGCATTTTGTGGGCTGGACCTTTAGTTTTTGTGCTTCTTGGAGCATCTCCCTTCTTTCAATGATTTCCATAGCATTCTCAAAAATCAGCATCACCAGTTTGTTGATCATCCTGAAGGGCTGAGGCAACTCATCACGCTTTCGATCGGGGTCCTGCAGGAAGAAATCTTCCTCGTCATCCTTTAGCCAGTACTTTTCAGATGGTGAAGGAATCTCCAGGGGATGTTTCCGGATGTATGCAGCCATGGTTCTGCCCTGCCAGATGCAAAACACACCACAGATGCAGGAATCACAGTAGATGCAGAAGAACGAAGAATCAAGAATCACGCCATATCTACTTTCATGAGGTAATGGGGGGGGGAGGAAAAAGATGATTAATGATCTCCAAGAGAGAAGAAGGGATCCTTTCAGTATGGACAGCCAGAGTAACCCTGTTCTATATAGCTGGTTTCTACTTGCACTGCCTTTGTGGCTCAGGGGTTTTGTCTAGCTCTGGGGATATCAGCCCCACAGACATCAGCAGGCTGCTATAAAGGGAGTGTAAAAGTTTTGGCACGAGTTTATACAAGAATTATTACAAAGCATTCAAAAATATTAACTTGTTCTTCATTAAAAGGCTTAGATAACATTAATTTGGAAAGCAAGTGGTTTCACTAGGAGTTATAAACTTCATTTCCAAGCCTGCGGCGGGGGGCCACCTGCGGCGGGGCCGTGCCCGCTCCCGTCA